AGTAGATTTCAATAAAAGTTATTTATTTATATTATGAAAAACTTTCATTTCGATTCTTCTAACTATTAGTGTTTTTGAAATAAAAATACAAATATTAGGTAAAATGTTTATTTCGTCAGTAAAGTGTGAATAAATGGATGGCTATCATCATCATCATCATTACAGCCCTTCACAAGTCCACTGCTGAACATAGGCCTCCCCCAAGTAATGCCACAAAGCACGGTCCTGAGCCACCTGCATCCATCGACTTCCTGCATGTCTTACCAGGTCGTCACTCCATCTAGTGGGGGGTCGCCCTACACTACGCCTACCGGTACGAGGCTGCCACTCGAGAACCTTTCTTCCCCATCGGTTATCGGTTCTTCGAGCTATATGGCCGTCCCATTGCCACTTCAGCTTACTAATCCGTTGGGCTATGTCGGTCACTCTGGTTTTACTGCGGATATCCTCATTTCTGAGTCTATCACGCAGAGAAACTCCGAGCATAGCCCTCTCCATAGCTCGCTGAGCGACCTTAAGCGTCCTCATACGGCCAGCAGTGAAGGACCACGTCTCAGATCCGTAAGTCATCACTGGCAACACGCACTGGTTGTACAATCTAGTTTTTAGAGATTGAGGTATACCTCACGAAAAGATATGCCGTAATTTCCCGAACGCTGCCCAGCCGAGTTGAATCCGTCGATTGACCTCTCGGTCGAAGTTGGACTTACCTAGTCGGACTATTTGTCCCAGGTAAACGTATTCGTCAACAACTTCGAGCATAGTGCTCCCAACAACTACCGGCATAGGTGTGACATGGACATTGAACATGATCTTTGTTTTGTCCATGTTCATCTTAAGACCTATCCGTTGGGAGGCACTATTGAGGTCATTGAGCATAGTGCTTAAGTCCTCCAGCGATTCTGCCATAAGGACTATATCGTCGGCAAATCGAAGGTGAGTGATGTACTCGCCATTGATGTCAATACCGTATTCTTTCCAGTCCAGTAGCTTGAAAACGTCTTCCAATGCAGCGGTGAAGAGTTTCGGGGGATATAACGTCACCCTGTCTTACACCTCTCTGCAGTTGGATAGGTTTCGAGCTCTGGTTCTGTACTCGGATAGCCATCGTAGCCCTACTGTACAAACACTTCAGCACTTCGATATACCGACAGTCAACTTGGCACCGCTGAAGGGACTGTAGCACCGCCCAAATTTCGACGGAATCAAAGGCTTTCTCATAGTCCACATACGCCAGGCAAAGTGGCAGATTGTACTCTTCAGTCTTCTGTACAATCTGCCGCAGGGTATGTATGTGGTCTATGGTACTGAAGCCTTTTCGGAAACCGGCTTGTTCGGGAGGCTGGAAGTCGTCAAGTCTGCGTGCGAGACGATTCGTAATGACTCTCGAAAACAGCACGTAGACGCGGCTCAGAAGGGAAATCGGTCTGTAGTTCTTTAAGAGAGCGTTGTCGCCTTTCTTAAAGAACAAGACCACCGCACTTCTGCTCCACGCCTCTGGAGTAGTGCCACCATGGAGGACGGAATTGAAGAGCTTCTGAAGGACTTCAAGTACCGGTGTTCCACCCGCTTTCAGAAGCTCCGCTGTAATTCCATCCTCGCCTGGGGCCCTGCCGTTTTTAAGGTGCTGGAGAGCCATTCTAATCTCGCTTAGACTGACGTCCGGGATATCATCGGAATAGTGTCGGATAAGACTTGCTCTTGGATCGTTACTCACACTTGCGTGTGGCTCCAACGATGATGTGTACAGCTGCCCATAGAACCTCTCAATCTCACTCAAAATCTCAGGTGTCCCGGAAACGATGTTGCCACACTCAGTCTTCAGCCTTGACAGTTGGCTCTTTCTGGCAGACAGATCTCTGGCAAAGACTTTGGAGCCCTGGTTCCGCTCGATCGCTTCTTTAATACGAGAAGTATTAAAGTTGCGTAAGTCTCGCCGTATGCATTTGGAGATCTGTCTGTTCAGTTGCCTGTATGCTGTCAAATTTGTTGACGACTGCAGCCTCATCTCCCGTCTAACAGCCATGAGATTAAGAGTGTGATCGGAGAGTTTTTGTGTTCTTCTGCGGCGGGTCTTGCAGAACTTAGCTCCGACCGCATGGACAGTTTCCACGAGCTTGTCGTTCATATCGTCCACTGCATTGCAATCTTCTAGGCACTGGAAGCGGTTACGTAACTCGAGCTGAAAGGTTTCGGGATTCTGGATTAGAGCACGAGGGGGGACGGAGCGTTGACTTCATTAGACGAGACCTCTCCAACTTAACGTTTAGGTTCAGTGTGCCTCTAACCATTCGGTGATCGCTGCCAGTTTTCACCCTTGCGATCACTGAGACATCACTGAACAGTTGGCGTCTGGTCGTCATAATGAAGTCAATCTCATTTTTTGTCGAACCGTCGGGGCTCGACCAGGTCCACTTCCTGTGGGGCCGCTTCTGAAAGAAAGAGTTCATCATAAAGAGTCCCTCTTTCTCCATAAAGTCGGCCAGCTGCTGGCCCCTTCGGTTCCGTTGCCCTACTGCAAATTTCCCTACCTTCAGCTCACCGCTTTCTCTTGTGCCCAGTTTTGGGTTGAAGTCTCCCATCAACACCGTGTAGTAAGTTTTGGAGGAATGTATGGCTCTGGAAATATCCTCATACATTTCCACCACCTCCTCATCGGGATGTGCCGAGGTTGGTGCGTAAACCTGAATGACCTTCAGCGAATACCGTTTGGTGATTCTGAGTATCAGGTACGCGACCCTCGTCGACACACTCCCAATCTTTACAACGTTGTTGACGAGAGATTTGTGGACGATAAATCCGACACCTCCTTGGGACAGATGGTCGCTCTCTCGGTGATAGAACAAGTTGCCGGACTCGAGGATTGCCGTGTCCTCCCCCTCTCTTCGGACCTCGGATAATCCAATAATATGCCAGCGCAACTTGTCTACCTCTTCTTCCAGCTCCAGTATCTTCTCGTCAGTCCTCAGGGTGCGTGCGTTATATGTTGCCAGGTCGAGTCGTCGTAGGTGGCAACCGAACCTCCACCGGAGATTCTTAGCACCCCCTGCCCCGCCGTTACCATGGTCGCCACCGTAGCCAGGAATAGCGGGGCCGCCGGGGACTGGGGGCCGTCTGTTTGTGTATTTATTCATTGGGGGGTATTTGCCATAGTTGCCACGCTTGGCGAGCGGGTTGGCAACCGCAGTTTTTTATTACGTCACAGTTGTCATCAGGAAGACGCTGCTGCCCATCTCCTGCCTGTCTCCCTCTGTCGCCTCTTACGACACCCACGGGAAGATATGGGGTGGATGGCTATATATTGTTTTATTCATTTATTAAATTTTGTCAAAACTTGTTGGCTTACAAAGTATTTTATAAATTTTGAGTTTTTATCAGGAGAATGCTTCTCATCTCCTGTTTCACTTCATTTTGTCGCCTCTTATGTCAACTACGGTATGTAATTGGTTAGTGGATTCAATCACCCCGCTACTCTCTTATACTCAACGTCAGCGTGATATTTAATTGTGATGATGTTTATATAATATGTAACGTAATTAACGCACTTCGAGAAAGTAGTTCGTTCAGAATCGTTTACTGAATCGATTCCTATCATTTTTAATACAGGTAATTTTTCATCCCAAAAATAATTAAAACTACGTAAATTACAGTCACACTAAATCTGTACAGACAAAACAAACTGAAATGGACCATAAATTAAGGCAATAAGACTTTTAAGAGTGCAGTTTTATTCGTATTATTACTAATTCTGTCATTGAATAAAAAAAAGAACTTTATTTCAAGCACGTTAAAGTCTTTGCATTTGTGGATTTGTACTGTGACCACAACATTCCTCTGGAATTAGTACAACTAATTTGATAAATAATCAGTGCATAAAAATGTGTGCGTATGTATTATGATTATAACATAATATATTAATTGGGGTGTCTGAGGGTGTGCGTTAATTACGTTACATATTGTATATATTTCCTGTTGCTTATTTTTTAAATAACACTACTGCCTTACTCGAGTTATCTTGCGATCCATAATTTGAATTTGGCCCAAATTAAGCTATTTACAACCTAAACAGAGAGGGTATCTTAGAGAAAGATTAACAGAAATAAACATATTAACTTTGGCCTCTCAATATATTTATAAAAATTTAATGAATGTTCACAAAAACAAAGGTAAATTTAGTAAAAAAAGTGATATACACTCTGTAAACAATAGGAACAAACACAAGCTAGTGATACTAGTTTCTCGACTCCACAGAGTCAATAATTCATTCTTGGGGCAATGTATACGCTATTACAACAAAGTCTCAGAAAATATACAAGGTCTCTCTATTATGAAGTTTAAATATTTAATTAAACAAAAACTGTATAAAAAAGGTTATTATAATATAAATTAATACATGGTTGATATTAATAATTCCCTGGGAATGAGGTGATCGCTTCCAAGCTGTTTCTAAAATAAATTTTGTAAATATTTTGTAATCATTCACATTGTAAAATTTATTTAAATAAATGTTCCACTGGGTTTCTTGCTGGTTCTTCCGAGAACAGAGGTTTTTACCGAACCAATGGTAAAGTAAAAAATGACTTTCAATAAGAATTACATTTAATCTATATTGATAAAAATATTCTTTTCTATTCTATTCTAAAACCAAATTTACAAGGCTATTTAATTATAATAATAATATATTTATATTATATGAAGTCTTTAAGCCTCTTAATTTTGTGACTGAACTGAAATTATTGTTTATAAAAAATTGCAAACGGAATAAAAATCTAAAATCTCGCATAAATTTAAAACATACATCTCTACGTAGTTCATTGTTCGTCGTTAGTAATATTGTCGACGCCGTATTGCAATGAAACTAAAACACCACGCAACGTGGTGTGATGAAGTCTACTGCGGTGTTACGTTCAATTCAAGTATTTTCAAAGTAAAAATAAACAAAATAACATTTTTTGTGATACATGTGTACAGTTCAGTTGGAATGTGATTTGATATTGGAAATGTTTTTAAGTTTTGGTTAGTGTTCAATTGATTTACTAATATCTACTAAGTGTTTTTTACATAACGGGGCCACTCTGCAGTTATATTATGGTTGTAGCATGAATGAGTCGTCTCAACCGGGGAGGAGCTCGCTCTTACTGTATAACAGCGTGAAATAATTCTACAGTGTTTCGTATTGTGATTGTAGAGATCCGGAGACCCTAATGAGGCATCCCATCTGAGTCCGCTGGGGTGACAACGTTTTCAGATTTTTTTTTATTTCTTAATCGTTGATAGATGTAGATGTCAATGGGCTACAACATACACTTACCATCGGATGAACTGCGTGCTCGTTTGTCACTATTATCCTAAAAGAGATTTTTTTATAGAATGAGGGTGACAAACGATCATACAGTCCACATGATGGTAACTGGATGCTGTGGTCCATAGACATCTACATTTATCCTCAATTAGGAATCAAAATGCAGATGCGTTGTCACCCGTGAGGACTAAGATGGAATGCTTCGTTTCCAGTAAAAAAGGTCTCCGGATCTCTACACTCACAATACGAAACACAGCAGTATTAAACTGCTATTTTACGCTGGTATTCTGTGAGAGCGTGGTCCTTCCCCGGTCGAGCCGACCCATTCGTGCTACAACCATAATATAGCTGCAGCGTGGCTCTATCACGTATAAACCCCGAATGCCTTGTTATATTTATACCCGAATGCCTTGTTATAAACCCGAATGCCTTGTTATATTTATACCCGAATGCCTTATTTACGCGATATTATAACTCAGGAAGGTAAGGACTTATAGACGTCCATTTCTAGGCACAGGTTTCCTCTTATTATGAGTCAGGATAAGTCAGAAAGCGTTCATGAAGATACTCAATGGATTTCTAAATAGAGTTACGTAGGGTTCTAGTGTGTTAACAAAATAGATTTTAGCTATCGGAACTGCAGGTTTTGATAGTTTGTCTCAGAACACGTAGTACGAGTAACTTACGTGAGCCTTCATCTTTTATAAGGCCGAAACATTGTTCTCTAGCCAGGTTTGAGTTGTGCGTGCCTCGTGCCCAGGAGCAGAGTCAAGCTGGAAAGTTCACGGTACGTTTTTGAAAAGCGTGTTACTGAGAAACAGGAATGTAGGAATGCAGTTTGTGTATTTTTTTCACAATTATTGCAGTTTATTTAGAAGACACTAATGATATAGTGAAAAAATATTTATTATTGCATTTTTAGAATATTTGTTATTTCATTTGTAATTTTACTATCGAAATGGCTGATCGTGTGATACCAAGTTCGATTACCGGTTAAAATGAGTTATTAGGGTTTTCTGGCAATAAACTTTAAGTAGCGGCCCGTAGTTAAAAAGTTTGGCGGTGTTTCAACCCAGTAATTCAAAGAAAGCGTAAAGGCGTTGTATCTGTGTGTGATCTACCTAACCTGTCGTAGAGAAAAGGAGTAAGAGTGGGAATGCACATAGTCTTGCCTACATACTGGTGCCGTATAATCCTGTCTTGCGTAGATGGCTAGTCTCTCGTTAAGACAGCCTGCCGTAACTGGAATTGAGAGAGGACTACTTCTTTTCTCGCAAAAGATTGTAAATGGTTCCCGTTCTTGGTACAATATTACAAGTTACTAAATCTTGTTAAATTTTTTAATATACTTTATAAATGTGAATGATTTCTCTCGTCTCGTCCTATACCATTTATCCGATTACGAGGAAAAATTGGAGAGTAGTTATGCTTTTGCCCGCCAATTTATCTGACAAAAAGGCATTACAACGTACGTGGAGTATAGCTAGCTATAAATAAAAAAATTAAACTTATTCTTAATATTATTTTTAATGAAAAATTTAATTTAAAATAACAAGATATGGAAAATGGAAATTAGGCAACAGTTTGCTCATGAATTTCATTAATAAAATTAAGAGACCTTTGTTTACGTTTACAAGCTTACGTCGGGATTAATCAGCTTAACCATTTCCACGGTCTTCATATAAGCTCGCTTTACTAGTGGGAGAATTTCACTCGCCAATTCTTTCCTTTGTTTACGGATTACGAGCGAGTATTTCGATTGTTTGTATATTTTCACGCCTATTCATTAGGAAATAAAATCTACTTTATATTGATCAACTTAATTTATTTCTTTCATTAATTGATCGAATTGCGACGCTGAGAGCCGCAGGTTCAAATCCCGCACATTTAGGTATTTATACGGCTTATAAATAATTGTTTCGGGTCTGGGTGTTTATCCCTACGCAATTTATGTAAGCCTCCATGATACAAAAGCCTGGTTTGTGGTTAAGGTATATTTTAAAAGAAAATAAATTAAATTATCAGTTTAGAGTAGGTTTGAAAACCGTTACCGTTACACCCTGCTAAAGTTCACTACTGAACATAAGCGTCCCTCATAGAATGCCTCATGGGGGGAATACTTGCCACAGTTGCCACGCTTGGCAAGCGGGTTGGCAACCGATGTTTTATATTCAGACGTTATTAGGAAGACACTGCTGCCCATCTGCTGATTTGTTTCGCTCTGTCGCCTCTTCCGAAACCCATGGGATGATATTGTGTAATGAATATTCTTACACTCCCACTATACAGTGTACACGGAACAGGTTCGAATAACTGCTTGCGAAGTTGTACTTTAAGTTCGAGTTAAGAAGTCAAAGTCGTTTGTGGAAAACTTTTGCTTTGCCTGAATTGCTGCATTTTTTTTACAGGCTAAGTGTGACAAACGAGCACACAGTCTACCAGATGGTAAGGGGATGCTGTGGCCCATAGATATCTACATTTATCCTCTGCATGCATGCTGCCTATTTCCAATTTAAGTTTCCCTCTGTAGCCTCTTACGATACGGTACGATATGGGATAACTTACACCCCAGCTACAACAATTTTAATTATATAATTAAAATTTTCAAAATGGTTGCACTGTTATGAAATTTTACGAGCAGATAAAGAGGAGCCAGGAGGGATTCTAAGTTATATTTTATCCAAAAAGCTTTTTTGTTTTGAAAATACTAATAAACTGATAAGATAAATAGTTTTTGATTATCTCGAATCAAAATAACGCTATATTTATAGACCATGTCCATGTGAATTTGGGGCGGGTCGGTAGTAAGACAAAAATTATCGTTATTAATTTTTTTCTACGATCTTCGGCATGGTTGAACAGGTTGTGTTAAAGCTTTATGAACAGATAGATAGTAATTCTAGAAGGGTTCTAAGCTATATTTTATTCAAAAAGCTAGAATTTTATACGTGGTAGAGCCTGCAGCTATATTATGGTTGTAGCACGAATAGGTACGGCTCTCCCGGGGAAGGACCACACTCTCACAATTTGGCAGCATTAAATAGCAGCTTAATTCTGCTGTGTTTCGTATGGTGAGTGTAGAGAACCGGAGACACTTTTTTACTGGAAACGAGGCATTCTATCTTAGTCCTCATGGGTGACCACGCATCTGCGTTTTGATTCTTAATCGAGGATAAATGTAGATGTCTATAAGCCACAGCGTCCACTTACTATCAGGCGGACTGTGTGCTCGTTTAACACACTTATTCCATAAAAAAGAAAGAGTAAATAATTGATAAAATATATGGGCTTTGATCATATTAAGTATAATTATGCCACATTAATAGATTTTATCACAGCGGGTAGCTTCTATGCACTAGGCTGAACTAAAAGTATCGGGAATGGAATATTTCCACTGTTCCTGTCATATTAAAATCTTTTTAATTGAAAACTCCTTGGTTTTAAAAATCGAATACCATTTATTTATTTAAAAAAAAATGATTCTCGGTCTTGTCACAAGGTTTTGTCAAACTTGTTTAGTCGTTGAGAAAATGGAATTGACTCGAGAAAATTCAAGAGCGATGATTTATTATGACTTTTGAAGTGGTTTAACATAAAAACAGTGAGTTGACTGGATGATTTCTGCATTTGGTAATGAAGCCCCATCCAAAACCACAATTTATCGCTGGTTTGATGAATTTCAACGTGGACGTGTCAAGCTCAGTGATGATCCCCGTCAAAGTCGTCCAAAAACTGCAGTCACCCAAGAAAACGTTGATGCTGTGCGTAAGCTGATTGAGGAAGATCGAGATGTGACACACCGCGAAATTCAAGCAACTTTAGACATTGGTATGAGTCAAATATAAATAATCTTGCATGAAAAATTAGGTGTAAAAAAGTTGTTTTCCCGATGGATACCGCATGCGCTCTGTGAAGAGCAAAAAGCGGCTCGAGTTACTTGGTGCGTCAGAACTCTCGAAAGATTCCACGCAGGATCCTCTAATGCTGTATACAACATCGTATCAGTTGACGAATCCTGGATATATGCGTACGAACCCGAAACAAAAAAACAGTCACGAGTTTGGGTGTGCGAAAATGAGTTTAAGCCAACAAAAATTGTTCGTTCACGGAGTGTTGCAAAAAAATAGTGGCCACGTTTGTCTCCAAAACCGGCCATGTTACGACTATTCCCCTTGAGGGACAAAGAACGGTTAATACAGAATAGTATACTAGCATTTGTTTGCCACAGGTCGTTTCTGAACTCCGTAAAGAGAACTGCAACCGCCGCATCATCCTCCATCACGACAATGCGAGTTCTCACACCGCACACAGAACAAAAAGAGTTTTTAGAGCAAGAAAACATAGAATTATTAGACCATCCGCCGTACAGCCCCGATCTAAGCCCTAATGATTTCTATACTTTCCCTAAAATAAAGAATAAATTGCGTGGACAGAGATTTTCATCACCTGAAGAAGCTGTGGACGCCTACAAAACGTCCATTTTGGAGACCCCAACTTCCGAATGGAATGGTTGCTTCAATGATTGGTTCCATCGTATGGAAAAATGTGTCAAATTTCGCGGAGAATACTTTGAAAGCAATAAATATACTTTTAAATAGTAATGTTGTGTCACTTCCTTGATTCCCGAAATTTTCAGTGCCGCCTCGTAAAATGTAATTAAATAAATCAATAAACCCCAAGCAAAAGAAAGCCCTCGGCAGAAGAGATCAAATGTCCGCGGGATTAGAAGGAAAGGGAAAGAAATCGGTGGACGATGCGAGCGATATCGAAGAGCACCGGCTTCTGTATTTGAGTCCGTAGTGGTTCGGGGTCCCAGTAGCCTCAGATGATCGAAGAGGCTGACCGGGATTAATACTTTAGCAGTTGCCTATTTAACTACTTTAAAAAAAGAAATAATATTGCGAGACACACTCGACAGTAATAAGTATTTCTATGCCTTACTGTAGTCACCTTATTAAATATTAAACGATCGTCGCGTGACTATCACCGCTATTGATCTACCTACGTGGCCCAGTTTTATATTAGGGTGGGTGCTATACCTACGCTCGTTACAGTCTAGTGTTAATGTTAGTGCTCTCTTCATAATACATGTAGGTCATTTAGTATCCACCTAGTAACCATTACGTCTTTTGAAAAGTATTTTTTGTATTTTTTATTGTTGTTTTTATAGGTTATGACTGTGAAATAATGAGGTTTTTTTATGTGTCGTTAGTCTAATCGACATTTTAACGTGGTAGGGGCAGCGTGCTTTATTATGGTGTTAGCATAAATGGGTTGGCTTGACCGGGGTAGAAATATTTAATCTTACAGAATACCATCCTGAAATAGCAGCACAATGTTGCTATGTTTCGTATAGTGAGTGTTGAGCACTTGAGACCCTTTTTACTGGTAACGAGGCATTTCATCGTAGTCCTCAAAAGAGACAATGCATCGAAATTTTGATTCTTAATCGAGAGTAGATGTAGATGTCACAGCATCAACTTATCATTAAGTGAACTATGTGCTTGCGTGTCATACTTATTCTATAAAAGAACTATGAAAAAATAATGATCTAGTATCGTTTGCCGCGTAGTGGCGGCGTAAAATAATCTACCACCTCATACCATCACGTGGGTGTCGTAAGTGGCGACAAAGCGAAACTAAAACAGAAAATGGGCAACACCGTCTTTTTATAGAATCGGGGTGTCAAAAGAGCACACAGTCCATCTGATGGTACGTGGATACCCATAGACATCTACATTTATCCTCGATAAAGAATCAAAACGCAGATGCGTTTTCACCCCTGAGGACTGAGATGGAATGCCTCGTTTCCAGTAAAAACCGGTCTCCGGATCTCTATACTCACCATACGAAACACAGCAGTATTTAGCTGCTATTTTACGCTGGTATTCTATGAGAGCGTGGTCCTTTCCCGGCAATCTTCCCCATAACAACTTGTCATCCAACATTTTTGTCCTCTTTATAACAATATTAAAATAATTTGCAGTTCGTTAATCTCGCAAAAACTTGAAACTGGTTCGACCGATTTTGATGACATTTTTTGTGTGTGCTTGAAGGGGTTCCTGGATGATTAGGAATCACAATTGAACCCGGTACGTGCAGCTGTTGTCGAGATCCTGAAATCATATAACATAACATAACATAAACACTCACGTCTGTCACCCAGAGGGGTAGGCAGAGACTACAGACTTGGCACGATCCTGACACACCTCTCTCGCCTCCTCACATTCATATACCTACGCATATATACTCTTCGGTTATAAAGGTGCTCCTAATTTGGCTCATTTTCAATATATCGTCAATTTGGTCGACAAACTTTTGCCTAGGACGTCCTTTTCCGACTCTGCCATTCACTTCTGCAACATAAATTTTCTTTGTCACTCGTTCCTCATTTATTCTTTCTACATGATCAAACCACCGAAGCATTTCTTTCTTAATCCTGGTCATAACATCATCTTGCAAACCACAATCATCTCTTATCATACAATTTATCACCTTGTCATTCAGATTCACCCTAACACACTCCTTAACGGCCGCATTCTTACTGCGTTTATTCTACTCTCGTGCTTCTTCTGCCATACTCAACATTCACTACCATACGTTAAAGTAGGGACTAACACATTATTGTGAATTGCCATACGTGCCTTTTTTGATACATTCTGACTTTCAACAATAGAGTGTAGAGCCTCATTTACTCTCTTTCCTCCTCTCTATTCAGAAATTACCCCTGCGAAACCGGGGTGGTTCGTTAGTTTTTAATAATTATTCTAATAAATATTTTTGTATGAATTCACGGGACTATCAGAACATCTCTAAATGTAAATCTCATCTGCACGTTATACATCTTCCTTATTACAAACAAGGACGCTTGACACATAGCGGTATAAGCATTTACCTACAGATTTATCATGGGAAGCACCATTACTATTGTGTAAGCATCGCCTTTGCAGTACCAATACGGAGCACTACATCTCGGTTTCGCATTCGATGCATGGAACATAAGCCCAGTGTTATATAAGTATGGGAAATATTATAGATATTCATTCCAGTTGACGCATTTTCGTGAAATTACATTAATAAGCCTGTTGTGGATTAAGAATGTGCCGACTGCGTTACTTAACATGCCATAAAAAGTTTGCGATTCTGTAGGCCAGGGGTCACCAAATGGCCGATCGCCGACCTATTTTGTGCGGACTGCGAAGAATCTAAGAATATCAATGTAAAACTATATGGTAATTCAATATTCTTCTGTTTTTAATCACAAAAAATCGGAAGTTATTGTCAAGAATTTTGGATAAATTTAGTGTGTGGTAATAAATACTCAGAATTAAAAAAAATGGCTTGGAAACTTTATACAATGTTTATATATTTATGAAGCAGCGTTTTCCAAGATGAACTTTATTAAAAATAAATTATTTCTTCTTACCGATGACCATCCCTAGGATTTAATAGCAATTTTTTGCACCAACTTAATTTCAGACTTCAGACAAATTGTTCAGATTAAAATTTTTCGATTGCCACTTTTTGTATTTAAATTGGATGATAATTACATTATTATTTTTAATTAGATATGTCCCTAATAAAAATAATCTGATTTGTTTTCGTATCATTTATTAATTGAAATTTTAAATCTTGGTTGCTGGTCATTAGGCGACAGATCAATATTTTATTTAAACGGGCCCGCAATGAAACTAATTGGTGATCCCTGGTGTAGGCGATGAGATAGCTACCTATAACTACTTTTACAATTTTCCATTTATATTCGTATCTTTGCAAAGTTGTAAGCCTATACAGAGTAGCTCACTGCTCTTTGAACTCCGTTATTGCTATATGGATTAAGAACAACTATTAGAAAGAAAAATATAATTTCGCAATCATTTATTCACTTCAGGCTATAAAAGTCAATTGCTGAACATGTACCATCCCCATAGATTGCCTACTGGGGGGGGGGGGGGATTTTTAAGTATATAACAATAATAGAGAATTAAAGTTATAATTGTATCTCAAATATTGACATTTAATAAGTGATTGTTTTTGTGTTGAAGTGATGATTTTAATAATGCTATTTTTATTTATATTTTTATTTCCTTTATTAAGAACGTACAATATACGTCTACGTTCTTAAATAAAGTAAATCCTCGACCTGACAGATGATAATAGAAGAGTTGATAAACTTATTAATTTTAAGTTGCTTTTATTAGCTTCGTATCTATTTATGTATATATTTATTTATGTCTATCTATTTTTACTTTCACCAACTTATAGACGGTGGAATGACTTGAAAATTTGCACGTGAATACCTATATTTAATTCTCTCTAGAATAATCACGGTTCACAATCGCATATTTTAAGTTTCTTAAATTTTAATAATATTAATTATTTATATTTTTATAGGATAAGGGTGACAAACGAGCACCTAGTCGACCTGATGGTAAGTGGTTGCTGCGGCCCATAGACATCTACATCAACCATCGTTTACGAATTAAAACGCAGATGCTTTGTCATCCGTGAGGACTAAGATGTAATGCCTTGTTTCCAGTAAAAAGGTTCTCCGGATCTCTACACTCACCATACGAATACAGCAGTATTAAGCTGCTGTTTTAAGCCGATATTCTGTGAGAGCGTGGTCCTTCCCCGCTCGAGTCGACCCATTCGTGCTACAACTATACTATTAACATTGCTTCAGCATGGCTCTATCACGTATATATTATTTGTTATCTCTAAACCGTTGTTTATATAATTACGATGCCTTTAAGCGACTTAAAAGTATATTTATTCTGTTTCAGATACTACTCCTGCCAATATGTTGTTAGGTACTTTGATACTGCCATTAATAACAGTCGTTACTAGTGAACCAAGTAACAAATGTTCCACTTGCATTAGAGTTGATAGTAGCTGTTACAGTATCGTTTATCTCTTTGATCTTCAAGCTCCTTTTAGAAACACTGTAGTCATTCACAAAATGGGGGTCCTTCGGTCAACAAATGTTCTTTATTACACCTTCGAACCAACTTTGGACGACGTAGAATATTACAAAATAGGCTTTGTTAGCTTAGACAACCCCGAACAGATGGGAATCATATCAGCTGGGAACAAAGTTATGAACTTTGGTACTTTTGATATAGACCAAAGTAATGAATTTGTTTATTTAGGTGGAAGCGATGGAATTTTCGTTTTGGAAACAAAAGAAAACATTCTAGCCTCTTTCAGTTCACGGGGAGATTCGATACAAAACCTATTTTATAAGGGAAATATATATTTTGTTACTTATGGACAAAATAAAATTATAAGAAAGAAAGGCGACAACTTCGAAATATATCTTGAAAGTGATCGAATTAAAAATTTCGTCATAACTAAGAACGATGTTGTAGTTTACTTGAGCATTTTCGGTTTGTTCGCCAGTAAAAGAAACGAAACTGTCCTTCTATCGAAAAACGCATTTTTTAGAGGAATCACAATGGATTTAGATGATGTGGTACATGTGTGGTGGGTTGATGGTATCTATAAAGTTGTTTTGGAGAAGAATTTGTCAGATTCAAAGATAGAAATGATAGCTCATTTACCTGATATAGGTTCTGTGGTATTCGGTAACACTAATAATATATTGTTTACGTCAGACAGAAGCTTATACACCTTGATTAAAACTAATATGACGATATGCTGAACTAGCAAGAAAGAAATTAAAACGTAACAATGAACAATTTGTGAAATATTTGTGTTGTAGTATAATTTTATTTATTATTATTAATTTGATTTTGTTAGTATCTAATATTGAGAAATAATTACTTAATTTATGTTTTATCATTTAAGAATTAATAAATTTTAAGATTAATAATTATATTTGTTGGCTCATCAACTTAATTACATACGCCTGTTACTTTATATCGTTAAGTTTAAAAAAATATAGATTAGATGTTTAATATTATGAATAAACGTAAACCAAATAACGCACTTTTTATTTTAATCATTGCAATTAAAGAATTATGACATTTTTATTTTATTTTCATAGGATAAATACATTTTTTGTCTTTTATTAAGAATGATTTCTACACCATTGAATTTCACGATTACTTAACATCAGCTGTCTTGGGACCTGATATGTCTAAACTATTTTATATGGAATTCTTCAGAAAATTGACTTTATTATTTAAGGACCTTGCCCTTGCCTTAGACAATTGTTTTAATTGCTAGAATGGTTCCTTGTTGACGCCGACATTGTTCTATATTCAGTTAATTCACTTGTTTGTCACATTGTTGATCAAGTGTACTGAAAGGTTTAATTTGAATCAAGGTTAATTTGGAATGACGGAGAGCTATATTAGAAAAACGCTTATTATTGTAAACTGTATTTGTTTCGATCGTTAATCATGTCCGTTTTGCCGATGATTTTCTGATGGTGGTCATACCACGGCCATATTTTCCTACTGTCTAAGTACTGTGAAATACCTACAGTTACACAAGTATTGTAAGGGGAAAGGCAATGAATAACAGCGTTAATGTTTTTTTTAAATTATATAAAAATAAGGGTAACACGCTGGTAGTGCGAGCTAAAACGTAGTGATTGTATACAATTTGTGATGGCGGCTGTACACTCTCGACGAGAGCACTTGCTATACCTCTCGCGAGTCTCTCGCACGAGAAAGCGTTTTCACGAGTGTGACTTTGTACATTCTCGTTTATTCAGTTACGCTGAGGGACGTCGAGGAGATGGACGCATGATTTCGTACGGATGGATTTTTGTCTTTGTGGTAACGATGCGTGGGCTCCCACAAAATAGGTTCACTTTGACGAATTCAAGAAAATTGAGTTTGCTTTCTTGGTTCCACATGATAAGTTTGTGGTAGTAGGATAACCAAATATACTGCACGCTAACGTCTTGCGGTAGACTGAACGAAGCGCGAGTGTACAGTGACGCACTCGTGTCCACTCGCGAGAGAATGCGAGGCCTTTTGACTCGCCCACCAAAAACCGACACGAGCGCGAGAGCACGCGAGGCGAGGCGAGGGAAGGCAAGGCTCAGCGAAAGTATCCTGTACACTCTCGTCCTCGCCTTGCCTCGTGGGCCCTCGTCGAGAGTGTACAGCCGCCATGAGAGAATAGTGCTTTCCTAGTCAAACAGATTCATTCATCTTGTAGTCATTACTAACTGCCAGGCCATACCGCACATCAACACTAAGAAAAATACTTTGGAGAACAAAAGTTTACTTGATTTCGACAAGAAATGAGTTGATAAAAGTAAAAATTATAAAGATAAACAAAAACATTCGTAAAATTCAATGCAAATAGGCTACCGGAACTGAATCAGCGGCTTTGAACGCAGAAATTCAAATGAACTGCCAATATCTATGCATAAAAAGCACCCTACTTTACTTTTCATGGATATTTTATATTCGAAAGTTGTTTACAACAAAATGTATGATAATATATTTGTATAAAAAATGGGTGTGTGTAGTGTGCACACGTAAGAAGTGAAACTTCTTTATGACATAATCATTTTTCTACTATTTACTACTTAACATATATTGTTTAAGGTATAAGCAAAAAAAATATTTCATATTAAATTTTTCGTATTTAATTAAAGCTATTTTATTGCGCGTACAAACAATATTATCAATTAATTTTATTATCTCTCTTATGATTATTATTGTAATTCACTAATTATGACAAAATTATTATTATCATTGTTAGTTATCATTATTATATACTTTTGTAATAAATGGCTTATGGTAGCTAAAATAAGACAAATGTAAGGTTAAAATAAAACAAAATATCAAAATCTTTCAAAACAAAATATAGTCACTCTCACTCACTATAAATTCTCTCGAATTGAAATATGTCCTATTTTATCACTTTATGATTAGAAATACTTTTTAAATTTACTACTGAATTTTAGTAAACATCATGGCGCGTGACGGTACAGGGTAATAGAAAAGTGTGACGAATTTAACTCTCCCATACGTCGATTAAGAAGTTTCCCTTCAATAATATAATATCAAATGTCACGCCTTTTACCCAGAGAGGTAGGTAAAGACTAGGGACTTCCATTAGGGATGACCTTGGGACACATCTCTCGCTTATTTCATATTCATATCACCTACGCATACATGCTCTTTGATTAAGGGTACTCTTAATTTTGCCAATAATCATCGCCAATTTGGTCGACAAACTACCGAAATCTGACGTTTGCGCCAGTTGCACCTTGACTTATTGAATTTGTAATTAAATCTTAATTAGTTTGTAAAAATATACACCACCCTATGTCGTCCTGTCTCAGGCGATAGAGGAAAACTGAAGCAGGAGATAGGCAGCAGCATTCTCCTCATAACAAATCAGAATTGTAAAAAAAACCACGGTTGCCAACCCGCCTACCAAGCGTGGCATCTGTGGCAAAGTCCCCCTGTGAGACTTTAATAGGCTGAAATAATAATAATATGAATATGCCTTAAAACAGAAAGCTTACAATTTACATCGTCCATATAAGAGCGAAAAATGCAAAGCTCTTTGCACTTTTGCCATGAGGGTTATTCCATGAACCCCAACAAAACTGTTTAAAAATGTTTTTTCTTCATAGTTTACAATAACTTACAAAGTTTTAAAGCAGCTAGTTTTAGGTAATTTTCTATGGAATTATAACGAAATTTTTACTAATCCGAGTATAACTATTGTTTACGGATTTTATCGCGTTTAATTCAACTTTAATTTATTTTTATTATCCCGACGTTTCGGGTGCTTTACAGCACCCGTGGTCACGGTGGGTGGTCACTTGGGTTTGGGTTTAATTTTGTAAATTATAGGATCCCAAGCAGATGGCAGCACGCATCCATCTTCACTGAGATGTTTGACGTCCCAATGTCATAGTTAGTCCAGCTACCTTCAGTTTTTGAATATTAATTTTTGGTCCGATTTACGCAAAATGAGCTTATAGTATCATGAAGTCTTTCAGTGGTATGCTTGGGCAGCACCCATTCATCTTCTCTATCGAAATTTGGATGTTTTTTAATTTCAATAGCCTCGCGTATCATCCTTGGTAGGAATCGGTGAAGATGGATGGGTGCTGCCAGCTGCTTGGGATCCTATAATTTACAAAATTAAACCCAAACCCAAGTGACCACCCACCGTGACCACGGGTGCTGTAAAGCACCCGAAACGTCGGGATAATAAAAATAAATTAAAGTTGAATTAAACGCGATAAAATCCGTAAATAATAGTTTTATTCAATGTGTAGTGTTCGCGTAAATTTAAGAAATCATAATCCAAATAAATTTTAAAGTTGGTCGACTCCTTAACAAGTTAAGTCTACTTAGCTTCAGTATATATACTACTATGGTACATGACTTTTACATTTCCAAAAACAGTGGTTTAGTTTGTAAAAGAGGAGGGGCACATGACACTAATACTACCACTTAACTTACTACCACTTAAAAGCTAAATATTTCGCAAATGGACCCTAAAAAAAAATTGTTCCATACATCTAATATGTTTAAATTCTGGAATAGATAGTTGAAAAATCACCCGCCTCTACCTGTATGCAGGTACCGAAAATGTTTTTCAATATTTTATTTCACAATAACTAAATACTAAATTATAGATTTGTAGCAACTATGGTCTCTTGATTAAAACCGCGGACGGACGGACGGGCGGACTTGGCGAAACTATAGGGTTTCCATGTTGTTTAAATTCGTAACCCTCAAAACGTAGATTGTTTATGGTTATCTTGTATGATTACCTTATATGTACGATTATCTTACCATCTGGTGGAATGTATGCTCGTTTATCACCATTACTCCAATAAAAAATAAGACACCCACACTGAACCATGCGCGGTCTCAATCGTTTGTAAACAACATTATGTGTAACATATTATAGTGTTAAATATCAGTATGTCACAATAAATTCTCTTCCTTTCCTCTGCAGCCAAGTATCGTCAGTTGGTGAAGTTATAAATCAAATTCGCCTGAAGACCATGTGGTGGTTTTATGTCCTCATTTTCCTGATCCTTGTAATCTTTAAGTAGCGGTTCCGAGAGCCCGTTCTGTACGATGTGATTGAGGCCGTGTGGAGCTGCTCAGTGTATTGGTGCACTTGTTATCTTGTGCCGAGGGTGGCTGATAGCCGGCGATAGATGCCGGTGGAGCCTGTGAGCTCAAGCGTTCCAGTTTCTATAACAATATGCCATTAAGTTAGAATACAATTTGTGTGGATGCAATTCTTGGCGCCGTGAAGTGCGATTACCCTAAAAAATTAAAATTGTGCGTGACATAATCGCCCCGGCTACTATCGTCCTTTTCTTTTCCCTCCAGATTATAGATATTCAAATATAACATATTCCAACCCTATTCCGTTAATGCTCTATCCTCGTTTACTATACTCTTTTCCTATTCTCTGTTATTTTCTTATACTTTTATGGTTCAAAGACTTAATTTAAATACAAAATCCAGAAAAGACATATTATGGGTGAAGTATCCAGTACAGCGATTATCAACGCATTGTAACAGCTGAGTCTAACATATACTATATTGTACAGGTTATTGTTTTAAATTTTAAGTGCCTTGTTCAGCAGTGCAGACACTTCTCTGTTATTTAACTGGAATGAAATAAGTTTATCACTTTTATATCATATCAATTTTTTGTGTTCATGGGGGTAAAAATAAAAACTCTGTTAAT